GGGTGCAGAAGTCAAATTCTAGTAAGAAGACCAGACATAATGGTTTGACTGAGACTGAAGGGACCCTGGAAGAAATGGCCCTCAGACTCTCTTTTAGCCCCAAACTAAAACCATTCCCAAGGCCAACTCTTCAGATAAAGATTAGACTGGACTATGGGACATAAAATGATATTCGTGACGAGTGTGTTTCTTAGCTCAAGTAGATACATGAGACTAAATGGGCAGCTCCTGTCTGGAGATGAGATGAGAAGGCAGAGAGGGTCAGGAGCTGGTTGAACAGACTTGGGAAATCTGGGGTGGAAAGGAGGAGTGTGCTGTCTCTCAGTACAGGGAGAGTAACTAGGGTCACATAACAATGTACGTATAAATTTTTGCATGAGAGACTTATTTGAATTGGAAACTTACACTTAAAGCACAACATAAAAAATTTTTAAAAAGTAAAAAAAAAAAAAAACAATTTCTACGCAAGTTGTTCAGTGACATTGGTTACGTTCTTCACAATGCGTGAACATTTTCATTATTTCCATTCTGGTTGTTCTGTTTCTACTAATCTAGTTTCCCTGCCCACTTACAATCACATCTTCATTTTAAAATAATCATTGACTGTTTGGTCTCATATAGGTAATTTTTTTTGAAGATGTACAGTACTTACAGGTGATATTCATTGTTTTGTCAGTCAATCTGTTACTTAGTTACAAGGTGACCTCAGGAGCTAGTTTTGATTCAAAGTTTGAGAGTATCTCAGGGCAATAGTCTCAGGTAGTCCTCCAGTCTCAACCAGTTCAGTAGGTCTGATTTTTTTTTTTCTTTAGAAATTTGAGGTTCTGATCCACATTCTTCTCTCATTCTATCAGGATCTGTCTATTGAGGCCCTGATTAGAACAATGGGTAGCGGTAGCTGGGCACCATCTAGTTCTTCTGGTCTCAGTGTAGATGAGGACATGGTTTGTATAAACATTTGTCCTCTAGATTAGTTTCTTCTCTGAGTCTTTGGTTTCTTTCTCTTTTGCTCTGGACAAGTAGAGGCAAATAGTTATATCTTAGATGGCCGCTGCAAGCTTTTAAGACTCCAGATACTACTCACCAAACTGGTATGTAGAACATAACTTTATGAACTATATTATACCAATTGACTGAGATGTCCCACAAGACTATGGTCCTAATCCTTCAAACTCAGATATCCAATCCTGCAAGGTGTTTGGTTACGTCTAAGAAGCATCTGTAACTGTGCACTCTATGTGTTTTATTATATATACAAATATATGTACACAGACTCATGGTGACCCCAAGTGTGCATAGCACAACTGCGCTCTGTAGGCTATTCAAGGCTGTGACCTCTCAGAAGCAGATCACCAGGCCTGTCTTCTGAGATGCCTTTTTGTGGATTCGAACCTCCAACATTTTGGCCTGTAGTTGAGTGCTTAATCAAGGGCTTAACCATTTGTGCCACTCAGGGATTCCTATATTTTATAGTAACATATATAAACTTCAATATACAGTATTAGTTAATAATCTTCATTTGATCCCTGAAATATCTCTTTTAACACGCACACATAAATTGGGAACATAAAAATCATTCTTAATAATCTCATATGAGACAACATAATCCCATCAGATTTGCCTGCGAAACTGATTGTTTTATAGCAACATGGAGAGTATGCGGGGTGGGAAGAGCAGTCACACCCTAGAAGGAAGGCAGGGAGAGGGTGAGCTCCTGAGCATGGATGCAGCAGGGGATGGGGGACTATGGGGGAGATTTCAGTGGGTCATGGTGATGGTTGGGTAATAGAATAATGAAGAGTGAGGAATACAGAGGGTCTAAAATAATCCCCACAGTCCTTGGGGCAACTGAAGGAAAATCAGAGACTAAGCCAGTTTGGAGAGATGAATATGATTTTGGGTTCTGACCTATAGACTAGGTGCCTGTGGGATGACAGGTAGAGGTGATA